GAAACTGGCCTGTTATTCATCTGTGCAACAAATTCTTGAAGGGAAATATTGATCCTTGGAAGGTAGATATAGTGTAAACAATACAAATGCAAATCATTCAAAGGATCAAGAATGCCAGTTTTCTCCATTTCATTAAACAACTGTGCATAGAAACATAGGACCCCAGAATAAACATCTCTATGACTTCTCTCCACTCGGCAGTTATGAACAGAGGACCCAGTGATGATACTACCCCTGTTTAAGCCCTGTTTTTCCAACATGAATTGAGCAACATGCACATTCTCCATTCCATAGTCGCATCTTGCTCTGGAAGGTAATCCATATTTATGAGTTCCCTCAACAAAGAGTTCTAAAACAGTTTCAGCTCTATTGTTGTCACAGCATTTGCAGTAAATTATTAAACGCGAGAATCCATCAATACAAAGATGAACTACAAGCTTCCACCTAATTAGTTTGTGAGCACCATCAAAGTGCCAGAGTGAATTGGGTCCAGGTACACTGTACTTGCGACGGTATATAACCAATCTCCATCTTAACGAAGTGCCAATAGGATCCATTCTTCTAAGACATTCGCTTACTCTTGACCGCTGAACCCTAATACCTCGGCTTCTCAAGGCACCAATAAATCTCCTTCGGCCAATATTTGGTGTGAGAAACCCCCCTCTTGCTTGATTTGTGTCAGGTGCAGTCAATTCTTTAAAGATGAGGTCTAACTGTTCATCTGAAATGTTTGAAAACTTTTCAAGTTTATCATCTATTTCAAACATCTTTCTCCTTCTTTGAAGTGTAGATACACTGATACCGAGCAGCTTGGCTATTTTTTCCCAAGAAAAATGGATTGTACGTAAGTATTCTATTTGGTCCTTGCTGATCACAATGATTGGTCTTCCAGGTCCCTCTCTGCCTTCCACAGGTGGAGTAAAAAAACTACCTGATGAGCTTCCACTTGCTACAGTTTCATGAGAAAGGAGAACATCGTGAAGGGACTGCACATTACTCTTTAGGAGATGCAAAGACTCTTTCAATGTATAGTTTTCTGGAGCTCCATCGAGATCGTGTTTAAATTATCAAAGTAAGTGTTGCATAAGCATCCTGTAATCTATGTTTTGTTATTTCGATGATTTCTTCTGTCCAAGTTGTTTCTTGCAAATTTATAAAAAGATTAACAACTCCTTTTAAATTCTGAAGGAAGAGTTGTAATCCTCGCTGATTTCGTTCCCTAAATATAGTATGCCTTGACATTTTTGCGGTTGTAAAATCACAACTTTGAAAACAAGATGGCGGCGTTAGACCCATACCTCTCTCCGCGATGAAAGCAATGCATCATGGATCCAAAAAATTAGCACACAACCCCCAAAATTTTTGAGTACCACGGAAAAAAATTTATACTATCATGATACAAAAAAAAATATGGCCATCAGACCCAGAGTCCAGCGCACTGACCACTGGACTACTCACGCCTCACGAGGAGAGAGAGGGAGAGAGATCAGCTCTTTTTTGTCGCTGTTTTATCTGAAATGGATTGAGGTAATGTTTATATGAGGAAAGAGTAAGTTTTTGTTTGCGGAATAACCATGAATTTTTTTTTCATAAGGTATGTAATAAAATCTACCGATAAACACGATTTACTGCGAAATCATCATTGCGTTTCGGTTTCGAAATATTGCAAAATTAGTCATAAATCGCTTGGAAATAATTCACTCAAGTCTTTCCAGTTGTATTTATGTGGAATTAGGGTAATGTTGATACGAGGGAAGAGTAAGTTTATGTTTGAATAACCATGAAATTTTGTTCATATGGTAAGCAAGGTTTGAGTGAGCGACACGTGATCAAAAAATTGCAAGAAAGTTTCCTTTCTTTAGCTTCTACTTCATCAGAGAAACTTCACTTCTTTAAGCCAAAATCAATAGATGATAAAAAGTTTATTAGTGAAAATCGGAATGGAAAAGGTTGTTTGCTGGAGCATTCTGGTTTTCGTTAATACGTGTAAGGGTTGTGGCAATTTTTGTAAAATGTTTGAATATTTGAAGAGCTTTGGTTGCTGTGGTTCTTTTAAATTCCCCGAAAACATTTTCCCGGAAGGGGAAGTTTCGAATAAGTAAGAAGCTAACGTGTCTCATAAAAATTTGTTTAAGTTTTCATGCTCAATGTAAATGTCCGAGAATCCTGAACTTTGTGACCAGTTCTCGGAATTTCCGAGTAAACCCATTCTCGATGAGAATGTTTTGTTTGATGATTCATGACTGACTTACTTGGTCTCTAGTATTGATTAAGTATTTTCAAGTTCGGTCTATGGTTCAGTCTGTGTTCAATTTTGCAATCTTTTGGGGGTAGAAAGAGTGGTGATTTAAGTGAAAGACGATGTCATTTTGAGAATAGAGAGCTTTAGATTCGAGTGCGAGAACGAGTACGAGTACGAGTTTTAACCGCGCGAGATCTGGCACTAGTATCTCGTACTCGAAGTCGTGCTGACGGAAATTGTAACTTTAGATTGTGAACAAATGTATCGATCCGAGTGCGAGGGTTTTACTGTAACAATCTCACCATGTTTAGCCAAAAAAACTATCCTAGAAGCATCCGTTTACCTCCTTAGAGATGAAGAGATTGACGAAGAAGACTTCCTGGCGACTTATGAAATCACAACGATGAGAAGGCAACATCTTTACAAGCAGTATGAAAGGATTGACGATGTTTTTGACGCCATTTCTCCTGAAGAGTTTGTAGCCGAGCTCAGGTTTGGCATCACAGAATTGCCTCTCCTTCTTCGGGCATTAGCAATTCCAGAAATGTTTACTTGTGCCAATAGCACGGTATGTTCAGGAACGAAAGGACTGTTGATTTTATTGAAACTTTTTTCTTACCTATGTCGTCTCTCGGATATGATTCCTCGCTTTGGTCGTTCAGTGCCCGAGCTGAGCTTAATCTTAAACGAGGTGATCAGCTTTATTTACACAAACCATGGATACTTGCTCAGAGATCTCGATCAACCCTGGCTGAGAAGCCAACATCTGGAAGACTTTGCTCTTGCTGTCCATGGAAAGGGAACAGCTCTTGCGAATTGCTAGGGGTTTGTAGACTTGACAGTTCGCCTAATTTGTCGCCCAGGAGAGAACCAGCGTGTACCCAATGGGCACAAAAGGGTACCTGCCCTAAAGGTTCAATCACTTGTTGCACCAAATGGTTTAACAGCCAATTTGTATGGACCAGTTGGTAAGCTAATACGATTATTTGCATCGTTCTGCTGTAATGCCTCCCCTCATTTAAGCTCCCAAATTTGAAACTGAATTGAAGTGTCAACATCTTAAATCCGCGAATTGGCGCCCCCTCGAATAAGCACTCCCTTCAAATAAGTGCCCCTCCTATTGACCAAAAATTTAAAATAAGTACCCCCCTCAAATAAGTGCCCCCTCCCCTCCTCTCATTTTGTGGATTAGTACTGAGACAGCAAAGGATGCTTAGTTTTCATCATGCAGTATTAGATTTGTACATTGCACTAATGGTGAGTTAAACTCTAGGATCAGTTTTTATGTCAATAAATAGTTAATTTTGTTTATGTGTAGATGATGTATTAAAAAAATGGTCATGTCAGGCCACCATTTGGGAAAAATTAAATAAGCGCTAAAAGAGTATTTNTTTGTAATAATAATACAGTACATTTCTATGATACAACTACATATACATTTGTAAAAAGATGTAAAAATAATGTATTCAGATACTTTACCATACAAACTCTTCCTTAGTTTTCATTTCTTAAATATAATGGTATTAATATGACAATAATTAATGAGAAGCTAATAAAATGTTTCAGTGTTCAAGGTTTTATCATAGTGTTCGGCGATTTTCGTCCAAGATATACCTCTCTCTTTTAAGTCTGGTCAGTACTTGTGAGGCTCTTCAACCAGTACTTCTCTGAGAAGCATAGTTTCGTGTTTCCTTTCCAAATAAAAAGTTCTCGTTTCGCTATCGCTACGAATTGAAGGAAGTTGGGAAAGTTTCAACCACATCACAACAATTCACTGTTTATACCTCTCATGCATGGTTGAATTTCAAAGGGTGAAAGTGCCTTTTAAGGCCCTCATTTTTCAATTTAAATTTATTCGACTGCGATATGTTGTTTACGTGTGTAGACCTCAGAATTTCGTGAAAATAGGTCGACCAAAAAGTAACAAAAACGAATGGAATCGGGGTTTGTAATAACATTCAATAAGATAAAACCTCTGTATACGGCTTTAAGTTTCATTTTGCTGACTTAGAAAAAGACTAGGATAAGTTTAAAATACAAAATACTCACCTGTCGAAACTCGTTCTCTGGAGGACGACTTCTGGTCAAAATCTCGCTGTCGACGGGCGGCGGACGACGAGTTTCCCACTCCCGTGACAGTGTCACGGAGAACTACGCATGCGCAATGTGAGCAAGCTAGTAAACTCGTACTCGCACTCGTTCTCGTACTCGAATCTAAAGCTCTCTAATGACACAGCTAAAACTTTAAGTGAAAGAACACCGAGTACTACTAGCGTAAGCAGAAGCGTAGGAGCGTCACATATCGACATTCCTATCCTATGCAGAATGCAGGAAGTTTGCCAAGTGGCCTAGTCTGCCTTGAGTCTCCTATAGCTCAGTGGTAACCATAAGGTCGCAGGTTGGACTGTTTATCGGGAGCACAAGGAGTTCTTTTCTCTCCGAGTATGCCTGTGTCATCCCCTGAATAACATCATCTTTCACTATCCCATGTTCGAATCTATCCATGATACCGACGTTCGATTTCCGAGAAACTGCTTAAACTCCTTCTTAACTCATTAGTCATTGATTTTTCCTCATGAAATTAGATATGTGATAATTGAAAAACCCTTGGGCGGCCATAATTTCGTAATATTTCATCGGTTTATGCTTTTAGGGTCAGCTTGAACTGCATCTTGCTTAAAAGTTTACTGCGAGATGTCTAGTCCTGGAAAGAAAGATGAAGTTCCTAAACAGGTTAGTGGGACTAAGTCAAGCGTAAAAGGCTCTCAAGTCGTGGTAAATACCTAAATATGTCCAATCAGCCTAAAATTACTGCAGGAGACAACATTCATTCATTCGAAGGGCAAACGGTCGATACTGTAACCCTAGAAACTCTTTACTGTGGCTAAGTTCCAACTCAGTTGAGGAAACCCAATTGTCTTGTAATGGTTTCCACCGACACAATACCACAGTTTCTTTTGAAACTTACCCCCTTATTGCATGAGATTACAGTTTGACTATAACTGGGCAATAAGCAGCTGGCTTTCTTGTGCGGCGCCGTCGTATTTTCCTCGTTACTTTCTCTCGACCGATGGCTGAACTGGGAAAGAGGGACCGTCTTGAGCATCAACGAGCTTCTCTTGTTATTGAACCCATAGGCGTCTGCAGCCAAAGGAGAATTCACCATCCTTATTCTGGGAGAGACTGGAGTGGGCAAGTCCACGTGGATTAATGATATTGCCAACTATGCAAAGCATGAGTCTCTCCAAGATGCCTTCAACGCCATGATTTCACCGTCCTGGTTCCATCTAGGTATAAATATTTGAATGAGAGTCTATGCTGATTATTGTGTTGAAGTTTAATTTCCATATGGAAGGTTTTGAGACATGTATTTTTGATTTATTTCAGTTTCACTTTGACTGATGAAAATGGGGAGGATAGCGAAATCGCCTTCGGAGAGGCCGATAAAAATGAAGTCTTCACTGGGGGACAATCTGCCACCCAATTCCCTCAGGAGCACAGAATCGAGACCAACACTACAATCTTTAACCTTATTGACACTCCGGGCATTGGGGTCTGTAGAGGCATTGAGAAGGACAAGGAGAACTTCGATAACATCTTGGCCTTTTCTACCTGCTATGAAAAGATCAACGCCGTGGTTGTGCTTCTCAAGCCAAACAACGCAAGATTGACAGTGGCCTTCAAGTTTTGTCTTGGAACTGCTGACTCGAGTCCTTGATTTCCAACATTATGTTTGCCTTTATCAACTCCAGAGGGACGTTCTACAGACCAGAAGACAGCCTTAAAGAGCTCCCGAAACAACATGAAATCGTAACAGATGTCTCTTCTCGAATTATTTTTGTTTTGACAACGAGGCTTTTAGGTACTTTGGTATTTACTTAAAGTAAAGGAACTTGATAATTATCGATATTTGGACTCATTTTTTGCGCCGTTTAAAAATACCTTTAGTATAGGTGGACTACAAAAAAGTAGCTCGGTAAGAAAGAAAAACGCAACAAAGGCAATTTATAATGATAATTTAACTGAGTGGAGTGCGTTAGCCCTTCGCTCCGACGAAGGGCTAACGCTCGAAGCGTCAGCTTTTGTAATCGTTACGGTGGCCAATTTACCATTTCAACTTTGTTGATATATCCAAATTATCAAGGAATATGAGGCGACGTTCTAAACATTTACTCACGTTTAGTCAATACAAATATTAATATTGTCTGTCTGCTCAATTGGTTCGGAAATTTGACACCCGTTTTACCATTTGTGTATGGTTCACGAAAATTCCTGTGCGGTACGCAGTGTTCTTGAAAACTCTAAATCTGTCTATATTACTTTTATTTTTGTAAGCATGTGCTACATCAGTATGAGTATGTATGGGAATGAGTCAGATATGGGGGATTTGGGAAGCTTCAATTTCCCGCCAAAAAAAACGGCTTATTCACTCACTGCTAATTATTCTCAGTGTCAATTAGGGTATAGCAGTGTTGATTAGGGCAGCAACGAAGGTCTATCATCGCTGACCATAGATGGTGTTCTAGAATGTTGTGGCTTCACCTCCCGCTTCTGTCTCTGCAGTGCACCACCATGTTTTCCTTAATATCTATTACACAGTAATTCGTTAATGTTACCTTTGTTTTTGTACATGGTATTATTTCAGCCACACAGAGGTGTCACAAAACCAAAGCAGCAAGGTAAGATGTGTATTCTTTAAAACTGCAGGCGGGTAAAGTAGATAGATAGATAGACGTTTATTGAGAAGAATACCTTAATAGCAGCTGGAAGCTGAATTGCAAAGGTGTACAAATTATGTAATAGAACTATACAATAAAATCAAACCTAAAAGGGAAC